TAGTTCCAATAGACCTCACTACCTCTGAGGATGCTTGCCATAGATGCAGGCAAAACGTCAGGAAAAAAATGCCTCTAGAACATGGCCATATAGCCTGAAAAAACCTACAACCACCCAGTGATTCCAGCCATGAAAGCCTTCAACAATACATTAAATAGACTCCGCTTGTGTGAACCACATGACAGCATTCTTCTCCAATTGGCCCAACAGGCAGGGCTCTGGGGGAAACCCTGCGCAAAGAGCATGCGGCAGTTTTCAGTGCTCTGCATGAGGAGCACCACGTGCTTCTGAAAAGCAGGCGAGATGGGATTGGCTCCCGCTAGCTTTAATGTTGAATGGATTTTTGTACCAGAAGGGTCCTTTGTGTTATGTGCTTCTGAAGCTGCTGGAGAAACCGAAGGTGCTGAAGGTACTGAAGGGAAATGGATCCGCACACAGCTCTAGTGTATTCTAGCAACTGTGAAATATCCTTGCAAGTGTTTTTTTCAGTTAAAAATTGTACAATGTATTGATTTTTACAGTATACTGATTTTTACTAAGGTCCAAAAAATACCCTATTTAAAAAATAAGTCAAACTACAGGTGTTTTAATATAGAGTTTGTGCAATGAAAAGATGTAATCTCTAAAGAGAAACACTAACTAAAGCAAATGTTTGTGAACTGGTGCAGTCAGGGGAAGAGAGGTGGGTAGAACTGCTTATTGGTAGAAGCTTCATAAATAACATCCATTAGGCACTCTCGATATTTATGCAGGCATATTCAACAGAGCCTCTGTGTCACCAGTGAATGATCCAGTATCATATTTTACATATTATTTTTTTTAAATGCTTTGAGTACTTGATAATGTAATGATTTGCTAAAGAAAGCACTGGCAGCTACATCTTTTGAAAGGGAAGCTGTTGTAGTTTTCTTACCTTTAAATGGCTTAGAGGAAGGGAGAGAATTTCCAGACATTGCTGAACTACAAGTCCCACCACCACAGCCAACTTAGCTAGTTGTGAGGAATGCTGGGAATTAAAGTCTAGAAATATCTGGAGGGCTAAATCATTCTTGTCCTTGATTTAGAAGATGACAATCTATTTTAAGGAGGCAATTTCAATTTTCGATGAAGCAAAATATAAAAGCAAGGTCAGCCTGGCTCAGCTTTCTTTTGAACATAGGAAATCACTGCCTTGTATTATTCTGAGATATGATTACTAGGAAAAGTCTTCCAGAAGGTACCCCATGACTCAGAACATAGTCTGTGTATGTATGACTATGAAATGCTAGGGGAAGGAAATAACTGGCAAAATTAATTACAGCAACAGCATTGCCTGAGATCTTTACTAAATGGTTTGTCATTACAACAGCTCATCACTGGTGTTGTTGAATCACATAGACAACTTCCAGAAATTTAAATAGAAAGCTAAATTAAAAAAGAAATAGCCAGGGACAGCCTTCTGGGTTTTAAATATATGCTTAATTCCATTTAAATGTATTTATTCGGTTCAAACATAAATACACAATTTATAAAAAGATATAAAGGAATACTATTGCACCTTTGAGATTGAGAAAAAAAGAAAAGTATTTCCTAATTTACCAGGGAACATAATCTTTTTTTTGTTCATTTTATGGTACAAATAACATGAAACATGAAGGGACTGTATAGTATTTTAAGTATGTTCACTGTTTTTAAGCATCTGAAGTGATTTAAACCAATTTGTATGACTAATTCTATTACAGCATGTGGTGGTCTCCCAGCTCCAGGGGATTTTGAGTCTGATGTTAGGCCTGGTTGTGAAACATAGACAGCTTTGATTGCCTTGGTGGATGACCTACACAGAGAAGTGGACCGGGGGGGGGGGGGGGGTGTCCCTGTTGGTCCTCCTGAATCTCTCAGTGACCTTCAATACTGTAAACCATGGTATCCTTCTGGATCACCTTGCTGGGATGGGACTTGGAGGCACTGTCTTACAGTCACTCTGTTTCTTCCTGGAGGAGAGAACCCAGAAGGTGATGGTGGAAGACTCCTTTTCGAATCTCTGGTCATTGTCCTGTAGGGTCCCTCAGTGTTCTGCTTTGTCCCCTATGCTGTTTAACATCTACACAAGACCACTGGGAGAGGTAATCTGGAGTATTGGAGTGTGGTGCCATCTATATGCCAATGACATTCAACTTTATACACCTTTCCACCTAAAGCCCAGGAAGCTGCCATGATTCTAAACCAGTGTCTGCCATCAGTAATGGACTGGATGAGGGCAAACAAATTAATCTTAATCCAAACAAACATATTTTAGACAAGACAGAGGTGCACTTGGTCATTTGGACATCAAATCAGGAAATATGTGCTAGATTGGGTTGCATGCCTCCTGAAGACACAGGTCCACAGTTTGGGGGTCCTCTTGCAAATGGCATTGAACCTGGTGGCCCAGGTTTCCACAGTGGAAACCTACTGCTTATTTTGAAGAATTAATCAACATCTGAGGAAAACTACAAATAACTAGGTAGAGTTCTACTGTACTCTATGACTCATTTTCTCTTATTCACTCTTTTTATAATATCTGCCCCCTAAATGAATCTGAAAATCTTGAAATATTATCCAAAATTGTGTGCATATTTCACGGTCCAAAAATAAACAAATAAAAGGATTTTCAAAACATAGATTTTCAAATTCATTCTATTTAATGCTACACTCTTATTGTACTATTCAGAATCACTAGGTTTAAAAAATAGCACCCAAATGGGAAAGGTAAAGTTTAGAATCAAGTTTGTAGTACAGAAAATCTTAAGATCATTGTCAGATGAGTTGAACAGCAATACAGCTACATGTACTTATATACAAATGCTAGAAGAGGAGAAAGTGTAATTTATCAATCAGAAGTTTGTCCCCTGAACATAATTCAGTACAATTTTATCACTTATGTTTGAATTTCTAATCTACCATTGACTTCAGTATATTTCCAATTCTAGGTGTATGAGTAATCTCATCTGACACATAAGAGTATTTGTCTGCCAAAATATAACATGCAAGCTTTTAACTGGTATTGAAAAGGCTGAAGTCTTGAAAAGCCTTTTTCAAAACTAAATGCTGAAATTTCCATTAAGCACTGAACTAAATCCAGATGATCCCAGGAACCGAAATACTGCAATTTGGAAGAGCAACTTAAATAATATAATCACCGTTTATCACTTGAGTCTCTGATGTAGCATGGCATTAATTCACAGTCTGATCTTTCCGTCTCATCTCTTTAATGATCTTATTAGCTACTGTGCACTTAAAGTACATCTACATAAGTGGCAATTGTCTGGGATTTAACATAATGCAGACCTCCTGGATGGTTGATTTTTTTCTACGTGTTAGCTGCATATTTCCTATGTTAATTCTGAATACTATGTCTATTTATTTGTATTTGGAAGACATATATTATTGTGGTTTGTGACTTAGACAAAGGTGTATCAACTACAGTGAAAATTCTAAGAGATGCATGACTGACCTCGTGTCTATTGTTTAATTTATTTAAGAATACTGAATCTGCCTTCTACCTTGATTAGCTTGATTAGAAATTCATATGTAGAGAGTGTCCACAGCAAAGATCTCCAAAATCCCTTACATATAAACATGATCTGTGTAAACAGCTGACAAACATCTCCTTGATTGCACATGATATTCTTACATCACAGGGAGATACACGATCTGCATCAATCATACCCACACTTCACATTTCCATTGGTGAAGGCAAAAGATCTACCAGAGACTTAAGGATAGCTCAGTTACGTTGCATCCCCTTTTTCCTGTCCTGTGGAGTACAGGGAAAAGAGGATAGGAGCACTGCCCTGTGTGAACAGATGGACCAATTCAATTTAGAACCATACCAATCCCAAGATGTGGGTTCCTCTGGAGTTTCAGTGAAACCTTAGAGCATTTCTTGACTTCTGCTAATGTGGGGGTAAAATTGAGTTAACTGTATTATGACCTGGGAGTCCTTGAACATCATATGGATGTCCAGAAGCAACTTCTGGTACATGTAGACCAGGTATGGGCAAACTCTGGCCCTCCAGGTGTTTTGGACTCCAACTTCCAAAAATCCCAGCTAGCTTACCAGCTGTTAGGAATTTTGGGAGTTGAAGTCCAAAACACGTGGAGGACTGAAGTTTGCTCATGCCTGATGAAGACCATGTTTCTGGCCAGTGTCTTTAAACTGGAGCAAATTAACTTATCATTCATTAATGTTTATCAATATAAGATATGTCGGAAGTGTAACAATCCTCTGAAGATGCCAGCCACAGATGCAAGTGAAACATCAGGAGAAAATGTTGCCAAAACATGATGATACAGCCTAGAAACCACACAACATCCTATAACAATTTGCCTTTGGATCCTGTAGGTTCATGTGACTAGCCATGCAAACCATTAAAAAAATGGGTAGTGTTGCACAGACTTAAGCAGGTACAATTCTATACTGAACATTTGATATCAGTACTGTCTTATAACTATTAAGATGATACTGGAATGTTGCTCTTTGATCTACTTAGAGTTGACTATTGTAATGCAATAGTACATAAATCCAAATGCTTTTGTAATTACCGTTTAGTGGTCCTATGGCATCTCTACATTCCCAAGACACAAACCATTTATCTGAAATAAGTAACTTTTCTTTACCAAGAAAAGCAACATATCAAAATGACCACCAGCAAAGAGGTGCATGTAAACAAACTTTACTCCTTCTGAAGCTAATATGTTAGAACAGAAATGTAAAATCTCAATGTAAAATGTAAAATGTAAAATCTCTATCACCACATTCCATTTTGACCCCTGTGAATCTATCCACTACATGACTACAAAATATCATTTGCTGTTATTTTCATTATGCTGCTATAAGTACGTCATAAAGCATATTTCTGCATTAATTTTTTACTATGTATTACTTTATTGATGGTCTAACTCTGTCATCATACCGAGTACATCAAGATCTCAAAGACTGAACCCAAAAGTCTGTTTTGGAGAATAGAATACTTATTTAATCATAAGTATAGAACAGGATAAACACCTTTTTCTTCTGTAAGAGTAGTGTTTTTATATCTGTGCCCCCGTTTAAAATACGCATACAATATTTTCTTTGATTCTAAGTTCCAGGCAATGTACTAAATGTGTCATAGAAGTCTTCTTCTCTCTCCCAGAGACCCTATTGCTGGTAATAAACATCCGTTATGTGCTACAGGACTATTAATTTTTATAAACTCTGGCATTTTAAAAGGATGAATAAAATGGCAAAAAACTTTGACCTGATAGTTTATCCCAACCTCTTTCTCATGGAAAACAATTATAGTTCTTGTAAACAGTAAAAAAACACCTAACACATTTTGATCAGAGGGCACATGATACTGGATTTTTGTTTTGTTTTGCTGTAAGCAAGATACAGATTGGTGGATATTTGACTAGGAAACTCTTGAAAGTCCATGCAAATTGCTCTTTCAGTGGAAAAACAGGTGTAAATACATTGTGAAACTTCTGTGAAACAATAAAATCTAATCTCAAAATTTGGAAAAAGCAGATATACCCATGACCGCACAATGCAAGCAAGAGACTGCATGTGTGAATATAAAACTCCTACACAGTATCTCCACATGTCAAATAGAAAATTAGACTAGGATCAATGGGCACATTTTTCTAATATATGAAGATTTCATCATGCCATCATCTACCACTTGCATTCTGAAGTGACACTTGTCCATGGGAAGTTGGATCACATGCTTTTTTCAGATGCACAAACAGGACTTCTCTCCCCCAGGATTCCCCAGTGAAATTGACACCCACATTTCAGGTATGAGCAATCAGGTTCCCCATTCCCAAAGCTAGCTGTCTGGACAACTAAAATAATTACTCCTTATTACACCTACAGTGCATAGTTTTAAATAACTCCAGAAATGCCAAATATATCAAATACAGTTTATGGGATTGATCTGAGTTTTCCCACCATCCTCTCTAAAACAACCATGCAGGATTTCACTCTAGGATAACATTTCAGAGGGAGGGGAGATAAGGAGGGAAGGTTTAGGTACTAGGCAGCATGTATTATTACATGGCAGCATGGTCTGTTTAGATGAGATGGGAATGGGATACTTATTTCTATACCATCTGCAGGCATTACCAGAGAAATGACTTGTGCTGTTAGTTAAGGATAAAACAAAACAGTTCCTACCCCTTAAAGTACAAATCATGAATTGAATCTGACTCCAGAGATGGTGCAGTAAGATAAGAAAAGCCAAAACTGAGAGGCAGAATGCTAGCCCCTGTGAGGAAATAATAAGAAGAGTACTTCACTATATGGGTTATCAGAATAAGACTGCCCATTATCATGAGCTTGATGATGAAAACATTCCCCTTTCTTAGGTCATTTTAAAAAATGGTGCATATGACAAATATACCCAGGGTAGATTTGAAACAGAAATAAACTGAACTGTGTGCCAGATTAGTCCTTGTGAGAAGTACATGCACAGATAAAAACATTAGGCAGGGGTAAGTATCAACTGGAGCTTGAAAACATTGTTTTTAGTCTACGCTTTCAAGAATCCTGCAACCAACATGGCAATAATCATTGGATGTTTTGAGCTGTGATTGAAAACAACAACAAATAACCTTTTCCAGCTCTGATACTATTAATTAGAAGTCACTCTATTTAAGTGTGCTACTTTCACCATTCTACATAGTTATGTACATTATATGCATTTATAATTTTTATATTAAATGAACTGTTGTGGCTTTCCACAAAGAATCCTGAGAATTATAGATTTGTGAAGTACTACAAAGTTTCCTCACTGAACTCTATCTCATTAAACTCAGGTTCTCAAGAAAGGCACCCACCACTCTACGTCCTCCTTGGACATGTGCTGATACTTTTCCTAGATTCCTTGAGTTGGTTGAACAATACATTTCCAGGCACTTGTAGAAAATGAAAATGGCCTCTCAGATATAGCCTGATTATCACAGGCTCACTGATGTAGGAACGCCCCCATACGGTAATTTGCTTATAGATTCTTCAACTTGGAATGGGCCCTGTTTCAAGATTTGTTGAGGAGTAGAAATTATCATTCCACCAATTTCCATCTACCTTGCTACACACTGATCTGACTTGTGATGTTCTTGTTTCTCTGGGGTCACTTTGGCTAAATCATGACCTGCTCTCAACTATCCACATGGCAGAGCCTGAAAAGCTTATTTTTGGACTACAATTCCCAACATCCTGACAAGGGAAACCTGGGAATGCCTGACTAAAAAAAAACCCAGTTCCTAGCCTTTTTAGTCCCTGTGCTCATGTTGGGTGCTCTTTCTCCTTTGGTCTTGTGCTGTGCTTTTTTCCTGTTCAGCTTTAGAGCCCAGTGCAACCAAGTTGCTCATGACATCTAAACAGCTGATGCGCATTCTGCTTGCATCCCTTATCCTTTCACACATCATTGTTCTTATTGCTCATGCAAGCCTTTTCCAAAAGCAAGCTGCCAGGAGCTGCCAGGGCTAGAACCAGGAACCTTTAGTTCTTTGGGCATAACCACCGTGACGCCAATACTGCTATTAGCAAGCCTGTTGTTTTTTAAAAATTAAATACCAGGTGTGATGTGGCAGGCAGGGGGAGAGGGATAGCCATCTGTACCATAGAACATGGAGAAAGGAGCACTAAGCCTTCCCTCAATAACTCTCTCCCCCCCTCTCGCTTACACACACATTTATGTGCCTCACAATTCAGTAATCAGTACTAGAGAAATAAGATTTATTGCAGAGCTCAAGAATGCTAATGTTGTACTATTAATCTATACTGTCCAGCCGTCCCAATTTGGCAGGGACAGTCTCAGTCTGTCATCCCATTTTTTTTTGTAATGACATGAGGAACTTTTGGAAAGGAGAGGGGGCTTCCTACTTCAAAGCTTTATAGTATCCTCAGTGAAGGTGATCAAGGAGGAGGGCATCCTCCAGCAATGATAAAGAGGCTTTCTTGCTGTGGGGGAATAGGGTGAAGGAAAGCTTGGGAGGATGGGAATGAGTGTTGATACAGCTGGGCTGTATGGCCAGTCACCCAATAATAAGGTGGGGTATAGCAGCTCCATATAGCTAAGATGTGGAAGGGTTGGAATCCCCACTCAGTCATAGAAACCTATTGGGTGACATTGGCATTTCGCATTCTCCCAGACTCAAATGAAGGCAAGCTCCCTTTGAAAAAAAATTGTGAAGAAAACCCAATTATAGGTTCATCTTTGGGACCTTCTATACATGCTCTAAAACCTGGAAGTAACCAGGTTAAAAGGGGTGGGGAATGTTTAGCCAAAGTGCAGGAGGGATTGGATTAAGAGCTAAAAAGCACGTGTTAAAAAGGCACACTTAAAACCCGATTCAGCCTTTAAAAAGTCCATTTTCACATGACAGTATATTCCTGCAGTCATACAAAATACGTGCTTTCTTTCCCTCTCTCCTATGTAGACTGCTCCAGTGTACGTGTGCTTTCTAAAGGCCTGAAACAGCTGATCAGCTGATCAGCTGATCGGGTTGTCAAATAGAAACAGAAGTGGTTCAAGGGAAGCACAAATGGAAAGCAACTAGAACTCTTTGAAACGCTTTATTTTACACTTTATAATCTTAAACAGGGGTGGAATTAGAATTGGGGGAAGAGAGAGATTTGACAGAAGTTTTTAAAAAATCCCTCCATCACTGCGCCCCCTAACCTCCGCAAAGGTGGAGGACCCATTAAGATGGTCCGCCCCAGGAGGCTTATGGATCCGAACGGATTCCTGACGGCTCTTGGGGATTTTCCCGCCACCTCGGTAGGTGACCATGTCGAGGCCTTGGTCGCTCTCTGGAATGGGGAGATGACCAGGGCAATTGACAGATCGCTCCGGAACGTCCCCTCTCAAGTAGCCGAGCTAAACCAGCTCCTTGGTTTATTGAGGAGCTGGCAGCGATGAAGCGAAAGAAGAGGGAACTAGAGAGCGTGTGGCGTTCGGATCCGCGAGCCAAATCGAACACGGTTTGTGTCCTTTTTAAGGGCATATGCCGCGGCAATAAAAGCCGCAAAGAAAACTTTCTTTGCGGCCACTATTGCGTCTGCAAAAAACCGTCCGGCGGAGTTGTTTCGGATTGTCAGAGGTCTTTTAACTCCCCCTACCTCAGGTGGGAGCCCTGACAACTCGGCCACGCGCTGTGAAGCATTTGCTCGGTTCTTTGCAGACAAAGTCGCTTTGATCCGTTCTGGGCTGGACGCCACATTAAATGCAGTCTCTGTGGATGTGACACAAGCACCTGCTTGTCCTATTTTGTTGGATTCTTTTCAGTTTGTGAAACCCGAGGATGTGGACAAGATACTTGGAGGAATGAGGCCCACCACGTCCATCCTAGACCCCTGCCCATCCTGGCTTCTGAAGGAGGCCAGAGGGGGATTGGCTGAGTGGGTAACGGTGGTGGTTAATGCCTCCCTTCGGGAAGGCAAGATTCCAGTGAGCCTAAAACAGGCTATTATAAAACCGCTGTTGAAGAAACCATCACTGGACCCCACTAAATTGGACAACTTTCGGCCTGTTTCCAATCTTCCCTTCTTGGGCAAAGTCATGGAAAGCGTGGTGGCCTCACAACTCCAGGTATTCTTGAGAGACACGGATATTCTGGATCCGGCACAGTCTGGCTTCAGACCGGGACATGGTACCGAGACGGTCTTGGTCGCCTTAGTGGATGATCTCCGCCGGGAGCTAGACAGGGGGAGTGTGTCCCTGTTGGTGCTCCTGGATCTCTCAGCGGCCTTCGATACCGTCGACCACGGTATTCTTCTGGGACGCCTTGCAGGGATGGGCCTTGGGGGCACCGCTTTGCGGTGGCTCCAGTCATTTCTGGAGGGCCGTACCCAGAAGGTGTTATTGGGGGACTCCTGTTCAACACCGCAGCCTTTGACCTGTGGTGTTCCTCAGGGCTCCATACTGTCCCCCATGCTGTTTAACATCTACATGAAGCCGCTGGGTGAGATCATCCGGAGTTTCGGGGTGCGGTGTCACCTGTACGCAGATGATGTCCAACTCTGTCACTCCTTCCCACCTGCTACTAAGGAGGCTGTTCAAGTCCTGAACCGGTGCTTGGCCGCTGTAACGGACTGGATGAGGGCGAACAAACTGAAACTAAATCCAGACAAGACAGAGGTACTCAGTCGCAAGGCCGAACAGGGGATAGGGTTACAGCCTGTGCTGGACGGGGTCGCACTCCCCTTGAAGGCGCAGGTTCGCAGCTTGGGTGTGACCCTGGACTCGTCGCTGAGCCTGGACCCCCAGGTCTCAGCGGTGACCAGGGGAGCATTTGCACAGCTTCGGCTCGTGCGCCAGCTGCGCCCGTATCTTGGGAAGTCTGACTTGGCCACGGTGGTACACGCTTTGGTCACATCCCGCCTCGACTACTGCAACGCTCTCTACGTGGGGCTGCCCTTGAAGACGGCCCGGAAGCTTCAGCTAGTCCAGCGCGCGGCAGCCATGTTGTTAACCGGAGCGGGACGTAGGGAGCATACAACGCCCCTGCTGTCCCAGCTCCACTGGCTGCCGATCAGCTACCGGGCCCAATTTAAGGTGCTGGTGTTAACCTACAAAGCCCTAAACGGTTCCGGCCCAAAATACCTTGAGTACCGCATCTCGGCCTACGAGCCCACGAGGACCTTAAGATCATCCGGGGAGGCCCTTCTCTCGGTCCCGCCTGCCTCACAGGCACGCCTGGCGGGGACTAGAGAGCGGGCCTTCTCGGTGGTGGCCCCCCGGCTGTGGAACTCCCTCCCTGCTGAAATCAGACAGGCGCCTTCCCTCATGGCCTTCCGCAAGGGCCTGAAAACCTGGCTCTTTGAAAAGGCCTTCAACTAAGTACTATATTTTTGGAATGACCACCGGAATGGACTATGGCTACGAGACTGATTATGACCCAAACATGACGAGCGGATTTTTAGTTTAATTAGTTGTGTTAGTAAGATGTGTGTTATGGTCTTGATTTATTGTAACTGTTGTCTTTATGTTCTATGTTCTGTACACCGCCACGAGTCGCCTTCGGGCTGAGAGTGGCGGTTAACAAGTGCAAATAATAAATAAATAAATAAATGTGCTGGACCTAATTCACATGTGCGCATATATGATCCAGTGCAGAATGGAGGGATTTTTTTTTAAAAAAAACGTCTACCAGATGTCCCCTGTCCATCCTTTATCTTGATCTGCTACAGAGGAAGGCCGTGGGGATGGTGGGGGACAATATCCCAGAACTGGCAGGTCTGTGTGTGGACATGCTGTTAGGTCTTGGGATTTTTTTTCTTAGATTTAAAATGTGGATTTTGGTGCTATCTGGAAGCATCCTTAGACTTGCCATATAAGCTGGAAACAACTTGAAGGCACACAACAACGTCATTTCCAGAATCCCCTAGTCGGCATGGCATTTTTTCCCAATTAGAATCTGTTCGAATTGCAATGCCATGTGTAAAATGAATGTGAAGAGAAAGATGAAATACCCCATAAGGTCCCACCCAATCTCAGAAGCTAAGCATGGTCAGATCTTGGTAATGCTTTGGAAGAGATATCAAGGTATACCAGGTAGGAAAGATTTCAGAGTAAGGTACTGTATTTTATTGCAATTTGGGGGGGGGGGATTCAGTCCCCACCCCACCTGCCATCTTTCTGCTTTGGCACCGTGGGGCTGGACTTGGCTGAAAGCTGAGTCCAGCCTCACAGATCCAAAAGGGCAGTCACACTCTTAGTTCACCCTCTTGAGCAAGTAGATAAAGCTTGCAACTATTATGTGGAGAAAGACAAAAGACCTTTTTTTGCCTTCCTCAAAAGGGAGTGTGTGCAACTATTATGTGACTATTATGCAGTGAAATACAGTAATTGCAATCCACCTCTAGGTATCCATTGCCTAAGAAAACCCTATGAAATACATGCAGTTTCCATAAGTAAACAGGCAACCTGAGGGCACATATACATCCAGTTCAAGAGGAAAGGTTAACCCCCCCCCCCCCTTTCCCTGCACTCTGTTATGCTGGTCACTAGGCTAGATAAGCCCATAGTCAGCCCCTGTGTATATCTGTCAGTTCTGGTAAGCTACTTGAAAGGTCTTCTTGGCAAGAAAATTTCTACACCAAGGGTGGACAGTGTCTTTCACAGCAAGAGCTGAATTCAATTTCAGATCTGGAGGTGAAGTACATTTCAATGATGGGTGGGGCTATAAGGGAAAAGGTGGGATCAAAAATACTAACCAGCATATTTTATCTGCCAGTAAGGACGTCGTAGGATTCTTGATATGCCAGTAGACCTGGATTTTCCCAGGTGCTCCACATTCTTGCTCTAAACTAAATGCATCCAAGTAGATTCTTGGGCTGGACACTGAAGGGCATGTGTGTCAGAATCTGGTATTTTTGTCAGTGTTAAGTTTCTGTGGGCATCCCACCTCTGACTACATAGTTTAGTTCCTGGTTTCCAGCACTTGGTTCTGGCAGCTGCCTGTAGCTCAACTTTGATATAGTCCAAAAAACATGTAGATAGATGCCCCCTAAATATCACTAAGATGTACTTTCATATAGTGTATTCAGGATCAATATGTAAACTGATATAACAAAAAATACCCATTGAATAGTTAGTGCAGCTTTTAAAACCATAGGCCTCAAGAGCATAATGCATGCAGAGATGAGTTCATATATGTTAAGTATTTTGCTTGAGTGTGTCTCATACTCTTTCTTCTTAAATTTTTAGTCTAAGAACACACCAGATTTCACAAACATATATGAAAAAAAATGGTAACAACCAGTAACTTTTAGTAGCATACCTGCCACTGACTGTGAGAGCTTTGATAAGTTAATGGCCATGATGGCTATGAATCTAGGAAGTGCAGACCAACCTCCACCCCCACCCCCCAATTTTCCAAGATGTGTTGATTTTAATAAGCAAGGAATTGTGTTATTTGTTGTGAAATCATTATAGGACCATGTTTGGGAATCACAATAACAGTAATTTCTATGGCTATGATACTGTATATATAGCTATCCAGAAGTAAGCCCCATTGAGCTGAAAATGACTCCTGCCAATGAAGTATGTAGTCTTATTGTAAGTCTAGCAAGTGAGTGAATTTATTGGGTTGAATCTAGAATTGTTCCTTCATGAATGAAAGGGATCTAGGGAAAGCTCTTAATAGAGGAAGATGTAAAGGCAGAATTTCTTCCAGCCTTCTGCAGCCTTCAGTGCCACATTTTATGTCTATAGAGGAAGTAAGGAAAAAGGGAAAAACCAGCTTCCCATTACATTCCTCTGACTGGAACTTCACTGAATGAAAATCTGGATGCAAGCCACAATATAATATTGTTTTAGGATCACAGCACAAACATAATTGGAAAAACACAGTTATTGGGAATGCATGATTAATTTAAAACAAAGCATGCTTTTTTTGAGATACTATCAGGGTTTTTTTTTTTAAAAAAAACGAAAACTTAAGAAGGTGGTAAATTTGATAGAATACACACAGAATAGGTTAAACAAGGACAATTACATATTCCAAAGGTGTAACTCTTTGATACCTTTGTACAATCAAATGAGCAAATTAAAAGCAAACACATCAGCAATTGCAGAATTACATGATCTGTCTGGTTTAATAAGAGAGGGACAAAGACGAATGGAACTTCTATTGCTGTTTTGGCATTTACGAGTATCAAGTCAGAAACCCCCAGTACCTTATTGACCTTGTGTATAAATAACTCAGGACTTTTACTGACGTTGGGAAAAGGTTTGCATGCTGCATTCCATGCCTTATCATAAATTGTTTCTGAAACTCTCCTGCAATACAGAATTTGTTTCTGGGTGTGTTGGAATTGGAGGAGGGAGGGCTTCACAGGAGTCTGACACCTGGGAAATCCAAGCTTAAATTTCTATTGAGTCCATGAATCAACTATAATCTAAGACAGGGGTACAAGGGGTCACCAAAACTTTCAAGTTCACAATCCCTCAGACTGTTGGGGGATTGGACTTTAGTTGCATGTGGATACGTGTGCTGTCTGTATCACATACCCACTGTGGCTGCCATACACACATGCACACCACTACTGCCAAAATCCCACCATCACAGGAACAGACTTGCCTCCTCCACATGCATGTGTGCATGGCAGTAGCAGCAGAAAACGACCTCAATGGGCCGCATTTTGCCCATGGGCAGTAGTTTGGGGACCCCTGATCTAAGACATGTGCCTTAATACGAGTCTGTTAACCAGTTTGTAAGGGCTGCTTTAGATAAGTGATTTAGTTATCTATTTCATGATAATTCTAAGCACGGCTGGCATCAGGAGACGGCATTGTTGGGCTGGAAAGCCCATTGTTCAGCACTAGAACATTGTTGATGCTTCTCTGGCTTACTATTGCTGCTTATTCACTCATTTCTTAAACCAGTGACAAGAGCAAGGAGGTGAGGGCTACTCCTCTACATTACCTCCCCTTTTCATTTGGAAGCTACTTCAGATAGAGCCCAAGAAGGAAGAAATAGACAAGGATGGCAAGGGAGGAGGTGAACATCTAATGTTTTGGCTCACCCCCTCCTCCTGGGCATCCTGCCCATGCCAACTTCCAAGACAGCTGTTCCAAAAAACATTACAACTTATCTGGCCAAAGAACATCTGAGGGAGTGAAATTACCATTGAAACATTCCAGAGTGACTGACTACATCAGAAGGTCTGTGGAATTTATTTTCTATGTCTCGTAAAAGTAATCACATCTGATTAATTTTCATACTTTGGTTCTAAGACTGAGAATGCCTTTAAATTGTAGTGATTCTTTTGTGGAGTAGAGTGACTTTGTTTGCGTGTTTCAATCAATTCAGTAGAATCTTGTGACACTTTAACATGCTTTATTTAGCCTAAATGTTTGTGGACTACAGCCCATGTCATCAGACTCCTCCTTCATTAAGTGGATTGAAGTGTATGAAAAACATATCTCAAACGAAATGTCTTAAAACTCATTTGTTATTTGGCGTAGGGGAAGGATTTCATTTCAATTTTGTCTGGTTGTACTGACAAGAAAATAATTTAACATATACTCTTCACCAAACTATTACACTGTATGTAGGATCCTAATTAAATAAAACATACTTGGAGACTATACACTAACCTGTGAAGTATCTGTGGGTATGTTAGCTTCTTTACCACTCACAGCAGAACTCACATTTGTAGCAGCAACTGTTCCTGGAGATTCTACCTTCTTTCCATTCACCTCTACAGGAATGCAAGGCCCTACCTGCCTATTTTCGGTCACTGATGATACGTTTGAACTGCTTGTTTGTTGTGGCTGAGATTTATACCAGCTTGGATAAAACAAGGGATCAATCAGCTCTCCTCTTGTTAGTTCAGTGTCCACTGCTCCTGCAGATTGTTCGTTTCTAGTCAGCACAATTTCACCCTTAATAGGAGAGAAAATAAAATCAAAGAGGGAGCTTGAATTACTGTATATATTCCTTCCCACACAATCTTTCTCTTACTGAAAATATATGCAGCATTCCTAATCAGCTATTCCCCTGACACTAAACTGAATAATTTGATTTTTTTTTCACATCTAAGATTAAAAACCAGGCTTATTGGTTGCAGGAAAATTACACACTTAGATTTCATCTTAGTGTTGATTTATTTATTCTTTGTTTGTTTCAATCTGTATCCCATCTTTGTATCTTGAGTAGCTCCAAGGCAGTTTACAATTCAACAGAACAAATACAATCAAAACATACAATAAATGAGAGCATAAATATTTAAAACATTATTTAAAAACATGCCAATGAATGCAAATAGTGCACCCATCCGGTTGAGTCTCCTTCCATAGGCAGCGAGATCTGCCGTGAAAGACCTTCTGAAATAAGAAGGTGCTGGCCTGTTGAAGATGCTAGCTGGCCTTCCCTTGCTCAGATGTGCTAGACTACCCTGGGGTAACCACTAAGAGAATCCTTTTTCATGTCCACACTAGATGTGCCTCATAATGTAGCAGATCCAAGAAAACAGTCTCAAAGCCCAACCAGGCTTCTATGGAACAATATTGTGCATCAGATAACCTGGACCCAACCTGTACTGTATAAAGTAAGTAAGTATAATGAGCAAACTATTGGAAAAATACATTTTCATTTTTTTAACATCACGGGGATGGGAATAGGAAGAAAACATGAAATAGGACAAGAATTTCTCCAGACTGTTACCTGATTATCTGAAGTGGCAGCACTCATGGGTAGCGGAGGTGGTAATGTTGATGGTACGTTAATCTGAGTGACAGCTGGCATTTCTTCTGGCACAGCATTCTGTTGTGGTTGTTGAGATGCTCGCTCAGATACTTCCTCTTCCTCGCCAGATGATTCCGTGTGGACTTCATCCAATTCTTCTCCTTCAAGCACATCTTCCTCCTCGTTGTCACCCTCCTCCTCTAATATAACACAGAGAGGAAGGGTAACACTTGGGGTGAATCTACCTAGGCAAAACATTTTCTCCATACCTTGATCGCGGTCCTGTCTGAAAAAACAACATTCTTCCTGTTTCAATGGAAAACCATTTTGAAGGAGACAGTGAGTATGTAGAAATATGATTGAGGCATTTATATCCATTTATATCCATAGGGGGCAGAGGAAACATGCCCAGGTAAACACCTCGTTGTGGTCCTGTTAATTTCATAGGTATACATACCATCCAATAGAAGTACAGCTGAATGGTAATAATGTGCCAAGGACCAGCACTATATTTATATTATAAGCTATAACTACCTCCTCACCCCTCCACCCCCAGAACTCACTGCAAATTTGCAACCACAGTTGATGATGATGATGATGATGATACACCTTATTTAGATGCTGCTTTATCTCCCCAGAGGGACTCAGAGCAGATTACAGTACACATATAAGGCAAACATTCAATGCCTTTTACAGAACAGCATCATACAATACACAGATAAAGTAAAGGCTATCCCCTTTTTCATCTCCGGTGTCTGGAGGCAATGCTCAACTCCAGCCATGGGGAGGTGCTCTTGTTCATTTTCCATGCTGGGGAGCCTGCTGTCCATAGACATCTCCAATCATTTTGGCTGGCATATCTTCATGTCTGCATGGGGCGCCCATTTATATCAGCACTAGTCCACAACCACCACTTGGAGAAGTCCTCAATTGGTGTTACTTCCACAATTACCAACAATTGCCCATACCAGATGAGGTTATGGGAATTATAGTCCAGGCAATGAGACGTTTTCAGCTCTCACAATAATTAATCATTGGCCACGCACAAATCTGGAAGGCCAAAAGTTCCTCCCATCTTTACTTGTACTTGTATTTCTGTTGACACTGTTAGGGTAAAATGCATGTTAATTGTTTTCAATTGAAAGGTAAACAAGATTACCATACCAAGTTGATATTATCCACAGAATAATACTGATGCCAAGGACATCCTATTGGCCAGATGAATAGAGACCATAAAACTCTGATCTTTCACCATATAACATGAATGCCTTTATTCAAGAAAATGTTCTCCATGCACAACACATTGCTAATACTTACAGTGGTTCTGCCTATATAAGCAGGCCAAACTGGGGTTAATAGCTCTTTTGTATACAGGATATTTGATTCTTGAAAAATTGTGATGTAGAATGTGGATGCCAAGGCCCCAAGGAAAAAATATCTTCAGGATGCTATGTCAGTCTACCTGGGAGTTTACTTTTGATTATGAGACATGTAAAATGGCCTTGTTATATTTATGGAATGTCAAAAAGGTTTTCTTAATCATATCCCTGAGAGGATGTCTTCACAATACATGCACATTTCCACAGCTTAAAAAAAAAATCTAATTCTTTTAGAAAAAATTGAACCAAAACCCTTACCTCTGAAAAAGTCAATTTCCCTTATTATCTTTTCTTCTCTGTGGAGATTGACTGTGAAATGGCTCATATTTTCATAGCCGTTCTCTATTTTTTCCATCTGAAATGCTTTAGAGGCTTCAGTAATTCTAAAATAAAAACAATTCCATGTTATTTGCATCAATTCTTCTAAAGCAATATTTTTAAAACTGGTGAATTTTGATTAATGTGAGGAAACACGTTTTCTTAAACTGTTTACTATTTCGGGCCATTGGTTGTTAGTTCGATGGTTGTTTTTATACCGTGTTATAATGTTGTTGTTTTATTTTGTTTTATGCTGTTGTTTTATGAATTTTAGTGTGTTGTATTTTAACTATGTTGATCGGGTTTGTTCCCATATAAGTTGCCCCAAATCCTTCTGGGGAGATGGAGGTGGGATACAAAAATAAAGTTATTATACTGACACAAAAACACAGTATGACACAGCAAATGAGACATCTATGTTGGATTTGTATCACAAAATCACAAGACGAACACTTCCCAAGAGTTTAGGACTGTGTGATTATTATTATTATTATTATTATTATTATTATTATTATTATTATATGAAAGAACTTACTTTTGAAGCAACGCTTTTGCATTCTGTGGGGAAAAAAACAGCAATGAAATCAATCACATTTTAATTTTGCTTTTAAAAAGGCATATAGATCACAGATTAATTATTATTATGCAGATTGTTAAAACAGTCAATACTGTGGTTGCCGTTTTTACCATGGTTAGAGATTCTACACAAGATTTGAAAAAAATCCCTCACATATTTTGGTTCATAAGGCTGAGTATATCTGGGGATTTCAATTATTTCTGATGTATCTGCCCTCAACATGGCAGCCTTGATGTTTTCCCCAATACTCAGTTGCCCTGGAGCTGTAGACCAGGCATGGGCAAACATTGCCCCTCCAGGTGTTTTGGACTTCAACTCCCACAATTCCTAACAGCCTCAGGTCCTTTTTTTTCTCTCCCTCAGCCGCTTGGACTTCAATTGTGGGAGTTGAAGTCCAAAACCCCTGGAGGGACAATGTTTACCATGCCTGCTGTAGACACTGACACTGCCCCACTGTCATGTAATGAGTAAGGTAATCATGGTATAATGAGATTTGAAGAAATAACAAGCATAACATTTTCAAAAATTGGGAAACTCCACTATAATTACACTGTACTCAGTTTACTTGGAAATCTAAGCTTTAGCATAGCTAATATAATGGCTAACCCAGCCTTGGCTCCATCTATGAGATCTATGAATAGAATAGCGTAGGTGGAGTTCCCAGAGCAAAACTGCAAACATATGAAACACTGCAGTGTCCTGGCATCTTTTTTGCAGAGCTGTCATGTTCTGGAATAAGAGGGATTCGTTATCTTTTGATGTAAGAGAAGTGATTTTCTGAAATGTGTGTGGAAAATGTCCATTTAAATGAGAAGAATCGGATCTCTTCATGGGCCTTAGGCCATTTTCCCTTGACGATATAAATGTTGGGATATAAAAAGATCTGTTTTATAAAAATAGGTTCAAATTCTACAGTAAGTAAAGACTGCAAATGAATGAATTAAATGTATACAAAATGAATGAATCACAAGGAAGTAGGGTCAGGATAACAAAAACACAAAAATAGCTGTCTATTACATAGGCACTCCACCTACTTTGTTTATAGTTACCTGTTTCATCCTTTCCCTTGGATATGCATATTATTATGCTGAACTTCTAAAGGAAATTTTTGAAACAAACAATATGTTTTTAATTTAATGGTTAGATCAGTGGTTCCCAACCTTTTTTTAAAAATAGGGACCACCTGACTAGGGATCACTTTGACCAGGGACCACTCTCCAACATTAGTACCAAAAGGGTTACGAATCAGTTTTTGGTTAACTTTAGATTTGGTTTGGTTATTTGGAGTGCTGATTCAGAAAATTGCATTGGATAGACCACGTCAGCTCTAGTTTCTGATACAGAACATATGCCTTCTACTAGTTGTCATCTGCTCACCCATAGAAAACCATATTGAATAAGCCTAAGCACTATAAGAGAGTTTCGCGAGACCAGTTGCTCTTGTTGCAGCAGTGTACTCATGATGGACCAAATTTCAGTTCTTGCAGACCACTGGTGGTCCATGGACTACAGGTTGGGAAACACTGTGCTAGATGAACATAATAAAAATAGAATGTTTTCTTAATTAAAGGAGAGAAAACTCCTAAGTGTATAAATACAAGCGAGAGTGAGGTAATGGTTTAAGCATTGTACTCTGACTCTGGGAGACCAGTGATCAAATCCCTGTCAGACATGGAAACACAATGGGTGGCTTTGGATAAGTCACACTCTCCACCTCACAGAAAGGCAAAAGAAAACCCCATCTCAACAACAACAGCAACAAAATCCATGATAGGGTTGCCCTAGGGTTGGTCTAAATCAGAACTGACTTGAAGGTACATAGCAACAATCAAACAGCTAAATATTTACAAAGGGACAGCTGCTCGATCTGTTAAAGTTAAAATGGCAGAGTTCTAAGAAAAATGCATTATAGACACTGAAGAAATATATTGGAGGAATTAGCTAGCACTTTCAGGGTCATAGTCCCTTGATGTTTCTGACCCGTCTTTAACCAACCTGCAAAAACACAGCCATTTCTGGCTCTTCCACAAACTGAATGCCAGATTCCACCAGTTTTGACACAGTCTCCAAATGATCTGCATACTTTTTCATCAGAGACCGGACATGTTCCAGTTTTTCCTCTTGGGTCCTAGTGATGACTTGTGCCATTTCACCTTTTCTTTCTTCCAAAATTGAGTACAGAGAATCAAATTTTTCACATAGTTGCTCCTTTTGTCTTTTGCAGCATTCCTGTGAATGAATCATTGGGTTCTTGTTAAAAGGTGCTATATTTTCTACATTTGCTTTTATTTCTATAAATGCTGGGAACTCTCTCTCTCTCTCTGTATGTGTATATAAAATCAGAACAGGGAATGAGTTCTGAGATAAAGGTAAAGGTTTCCCTTGACATTAAGTCTAGTTGTGTCCGACTCTGGGGGGTGGTGCTCATCTCCATCTCTAAACCAAAGAGCCAGCATTGCCCATAGACGCCTCCTATGTCATGTGGCCAGCATGACTTTATGGAGCACTGTTACCTTCCCACAAGGCGGTACCTAGTGATCTACTCACATTTGCATGTTTTTGAACTGCTAGGTTGGCAGAAGCTGGACCTAACAGCGGAAGCTCAACTCGCTCCCCAGATTCGAACCACCAACCTTTTGGTCAGCAAGTTCAGCAGCTCAGTAGTTTAACCTACTGCTCCACCAGGAGGTCCTAGTTTTTAGATATCAGTTAGAAATTTAGTGATTTAGGGGAGTTAGTTAAAGTCAGAGATAAAGTTTAGTTCAACTCAGATCAGTTATTATTATTATTATTATTATTATTATTATTATTATTATTATTAGTAGTAGTAGTAGTAGTAGTAGTATCTATATTCCAACTTTTCTTCCTCAAAGCAGAGAAACACTCCCTCAAAGTGGCTTATATACTAAAAACCACACAAGTTAATCAGTTTCTAAACAGACTCAGAGAGCAAGGGAGAGAGATATGAGTATTGGTGTTAGGAGGAGAAAAAGAGGTGAGCTAGAGCTTGTTAGAATAAATAAGAATTTAGATACATTAAATGAAAAAAAAATTGGGTGTTATGTTCCTATTACAATCAGTAAATCATCTTTGTAGTATGACTCTTGTATCAACTGGGGATGCATTCCTGGACACTGTGTGAATATGTATAACCATGGATAGCAGCAAACTGTAATAATGAGCTACAGAATATCATTTGCACTGGAGAAACGAGAAAATACCTAGAAAGGCCATATTTTGTTGGGCGTAGAAAAATGAAGCTGTAGGCATTCCTTCTGCAAATACAGGGATCCTGCACTTGTGCCCCTGAGAACACTATGTACGGTGTATTATAAAGTTTGAGTTTTGACATTGAGTATTTGGTGTAACAGCAGTTATTGAAGAGTGGTGATGAGATTAGATGAATAAAGACTCAAGCATGAATCACAAGCCCATCTAGAAGATCCCTTTCCTTATTATAGTTTCTAGGAGGAAACTCTACCCAGACTTCAAATGAAAGACAAACAAATCAAACCAAAAATGAGTGAGAACAACTGCTATGAAGAGAAACAGAACAGCCCGACAATTATCAGGACTACTGATTGTTTGTAGAACATAACATATCACATCAAAACTATGATACTGTAATTAGATATCAAATAATATTATTCTGCAAAAGCTTGAAATATATCCTTATGCAACACAAACTGCACATAAAAATGCTGCGTGGAAGCTAAATATAGCTTTGAAGGCTCTGCCTTTGCATTTGAAATTTAAAGCACATATAAGTGGAAATAAAGAACCAGACATTCTATTTTAGTAGCTTGCCTTGTTTGATTTTTTTCAACAAGCAAACCCAGGGAAGGTCAGAAAATGTTACATATAAGATAGGGCTCCCTTCTTCCACACACCTGCTGTTTAAATCTCTCCATCTCCAGCAGTACACAAATGTGCAGCCTTCATCTTTAACTAGGGCTGTGTCTACCTTTACTCAGATATTTCAAGGTAAATTACTCTGAAGCTGTCCTAATGCAGCCTGGGAGCATCCTTGGAGTCCTTTTAGCATCCAAATGACCAAATGAGTTGAGGGCACACTGGGGCCATTGCCCCTGGGTCACTAACCAAAAGCATCTCCTTTGTAAAGGCTTGGCAGTGACACTACTTTTCTTGGTCACATGGCTGGTTGCTGTCTTTTGGCCCCACCAGAAATGTCATTGACAACAAACCTATACTCAAGATATAGGCAGTTTGTCTGTTGGACAAAAGAACAATAGATCTGGCCAGAATTAGGCTGATCCAGTTGTCCACTTCTATAAAACACTTGGATCATTCTGAAGCTTCCCGGATGTATAGCTGCAAATCCAGCTATACATTGCGTAGACTTGCTGCTGAGGCTGAAAGGTAAGGTCACTTGATTTGGCCTATGTAGGCATAGCCAAGATAGAAAGATGATTGTGTTCTTCAATTGTGCAAAATAATGTTCTTAGCCTGATCAATTTCAGAGTTCAGCAAGATGATATCCAATATGGTAGACGGCTCCGTGAAATGATGAAGAATCAGTGGGTTGATATTTCCTCTTGTACCTACTCCCTAACGTCCTGGTTTCTGTCTCACTGGGGAAGCAGAAGCACACTTAGGGCAATTTCACATAGGTATCGTAATGCAGTTTGAAGTCAGCTTGAGATTGGGATGTCCACAAATCATACAACCCAATGTACACATCCAGCCCAAAGCTGAATATTAAAAAAAACTCAACAGAAATTCCAGAATAAGCCAATTAGTGTATATCTCATGCAGAGCTGGACTTGAGACAGAAAAATGCAGAGGACATGTCAGGACAGGGCTAGTGATGACACATTTGGGAAAATCAGAAATGCAGCATGCCAGAAGGTAAGCAACACCTATTCCCTTTGTGGGGAACCCACAATGTTCCCATAGGAACACCTGCTTCCCACCCTTTGTTGCTGTGTCCTGCCTTGTTCTAGTGCTGAAAACCATCAGACATGCTGCTGCCCATCAGTGTTGGTCTTCCTGCTGCCCACCAGCACTCTTCATGCTAATGCCCAACAGCACATTCTCCTGGATGAGGTAAGAAAAGAAAATCATGTGGATATTTGTGGCCACCATCCCAGCCTCAAACTGGTTCCTGTGGAACCTCTTGGAATGAAAGGAATGAAAGGAAATGTGGCTGTAGAGCCTTGAAAGTTGCTTTTGAAAGCCATACTGCTACAAGTTCCTCTCATCTGATCTGCTTAGCTGATCAATCACAACAGAGCACAACGGCACAAGATAGCACTTTAACCATGTGATAGTCCTCCTTCACAATTTCGTAGGTCCCCCACAAAAGGATTTAGTGGCATTAAATGTTCATTATTGGAAAACTGAGTTAAGTTATCTGCAAGGTCTAGCTGCAAAGATCAGAAAACACAGGGTGTTTCAAAATGATGGGCCCAGTTTCAAATCAGTATATTTCACAATGACATGTTACAATTACACAAAAGGTTAGAAATTGGCGAATGAACTATCAAGTTATTAAATTTTACTAATTCTGAGCCAGAAACAAATCCAAAAAAATAAATCAGCAAGTGGAGACTGTTTCATTAGTCCTAATGTGAGGTCACCATGTTGCAAATGACTGAGGCTAGGGGCTGTTTGTGCACCGGGAGGGACATCTAGAAGTATGCCTTTGAAACTATGTCCCAGGCTTTCAAGAGATAAGAGATTCATTCATGAGTGGTTTGTGGTTGCAGAGATATAGCAATTTCAAATCGGGTCCATCCTTTTGAAATACTCTGTACCTGGCCTTGTGATGTTTCTTTGACCCATCGCTTTCTAATTGGTATACATTTTCTTTTCCAACACGCTTTTGGCTTATTGGTCAGAGGACATTTTATCTGCTAATTCTATTTTCATCCTATATTGTTTTGTTTTATATTTTAATTAGTGTTATTATAAGCCACTCTGAATAGTGCAGAAGCTCTGGAAAAAGGGATATATATTTCTAAATTAATATATAAAGCCAAAATTAGAAAAAAAAATCATGAAAGCCTTTCCCCAGAATCTCTGGGATTATGTATGGACGCATACATAAGCTTATTAAATGGTGTGAAGGTGAAAGAACTTATATTGCAATTTTGCAACCTAAATTCAGAAAGTAAAGAGTTCAGTAAAGTGAGCCCTGAGTGTAAGTGAGTCATTGTTGGAAAGACACGACATTGGTCTTGGAGATTTCTTTGACTTCTTGGTGTATCATTGCCTACAAACCTTTGAGGTGTCCGTTTTGTTTAGGTTTGTTAAAGCGTCGATGTTGAGGAGTCTCTGCTTTGGTGTGATTCTAATTTCTACAGCTAAGTTACTTGAAAGGCTCATTTCAGCCTGCAGACTCCTGATAGCAATGGATTTCATCCTTGTAATGCAAAGGCTTTCTGACAACAAAGTTTTAAACTGTTAATATATTTTTCCTAGGGATTTTAGAGGCTTTGAACCATCCTTGGTATATTATTTCCTTTGCTTTGGCAACATAAGAAACTATGATGGATTTTTCTGCTAATTAGAGCCATGAGATGTTGAAACTGAAGCCTACTTTACCTCAGGTTTTCATTTGCAACCCTTTATTTGGGGATGGGATTTTGAGAAGTTTAAGTTGATTTCTTCTTCTGGTAAATAAATGCATTTCATTTATAATAGCATCTGTAAACAGAAGTACGCAGGAGCTACTGTGGATATTTTGTCAGACTATATGCAATTGAAGGCAGAGCTATGAAAGGGGAGATAATGTGATTAGACTCTTTTGCCATTTAAAGTACATTTAGAGACAGAGATGGGAGGGGGGAGAATCTGGGTATATGAATCACATCCACATAACTGGGAATTTTAAAAGCTTCCCTTTCTGACATTTTATTGATTGAGTGATTGAATGAATGTATTTGTTATTGCTTTTCAGCACAGAAGGGCTCCCAAAGTGATACCTAATATAACGTATTTAGAATAGTCTATCAGGAGAGATGGGGGAAAATTAAGTTGATTTAACCCCACCCCCACCCCAGTTTTATACACAAAAAACAATGTGAAAAAATAAAGTTTTTAGTATCTGCTGCAATCTTAACTAAGAAAGAGCAAGTCTGAGTCACTTCTCAACAACTGAGGCCTCTTCCACACAGCTGTATAAAATACACTTTGAATTGGATTAAATGGCAGCGTGGACTCAGACAACCCAGTTCAAAGCAGATATTGTGGATTATCTGCCTTGGTATTCTGGGTTATATGGCTGTGTGGAAAGGAGTCCATTGTCTGTTTTACCCTACAGGAGGTCTGGAAGGTCTCTGGAAGAAGGCTCTTTATCAAAAATCCTAAATTCAAAATTATATATTGCAGACTAGCACAGGCACAGGAATGATATCTTTAGTCTGCTGCTTTTCCAACTTCAAATTTCTACCTCCCCAAGAGAGCTTTTGGCCCTTTCCATATGGAGTCACAACCAGCAGGTAGACTGATTTCAAGATGTAAATTCAAACAATCTCCTCCAGTCTGGAGGTGGAAGTCTGAACAGTTGCTTTAGCTTGAAAATGAAATGGAACGAAACAGGGGAGCTGCATATGAGCGACATAATGCTAATCTTGAAATCTTATCCTGAACTTGCAATGCCATTTCTTGTATCTTGAAATTGTCATGGGAGGAGTGGCAGGTTTCAGATGCCCTTATTGACCTATCTGGAATATGTGTTCAGAGTTAGCAAACCAGGTGGTGTTCCAATTAAGCCCTGGCACTCTCTAATTGTTGACTCTCCTGGGAACGATGACTCCGGTTGTAAAATGGTAGCAAGTGGTAAGTCATTAGCCAAGGTCATGTTGACCTGCCAACAGAAACTATTTGAGTAAAGCTTTATTCTACAATGTTGTCAGTCATTGCTTTAACTAGATCATCTCATTTAATACCAAAACATACCAAGAAAGCACAGAATTTGCTTTTCATTTATTTAACCAGTGCTGGCCACACCATCCTTAGCCAACATCTAAGGCCTTGGCATTGCAGAAGTGACCGTCTGGGCAATTGTATTTTCTTCTGCAACCTGGAGGCAATCTTTCACTTGGGATCAAGAATTTAATTTCTCACAACACCTCAGAATGACACTATATGTCATAACATTGTGGAGTATTTAAGTATAGATCTGAATTACTAAGCACTGACTTTTGAGTTGTTGGTAAACATCACTGCGGCTGCTAAAATCAAACAAGGCTATCAACGTTCACAATAAGCCACTGTGTGGTTCTTAGTCTTCTCTTTAAAAATAATGTGGTTGATCTGATTTCATAGACCAAACACTCTTAGTATTGACTTGGAGTGGTAACTGGACCAAAATCCAGAACAATATGATAAACAGTATGGAAACAATTTCCAGATGGCAAGATCTCATAAATAACACAGAGCTCAAGAAATGTTACTTTTTTGAGGTGACACCACTCAGAATCCTCTTTTACAAGTTCAGGAATAATATGACCAGATATCTGTGTTTTTCAATTGATTTTTTTTCTACCCAAGGAGCACACTCTCTCCTGCTTACAGTGTGGACATAGGGGGTTCCTTTTAAAAATATTTGTTTTGGCCTCATTGATTCAGCTAAATTAGGGGTATCAAAGATAGACTTGTGGATGTCTTTCAGGATCTCCTCTTTCCTTCAAAATGTAAACACTGTTTTCTGCACCACAGTGTACAATTCACATTCGTAAAGTCTGACATCCAAGACTGGAATCAGCATTTCCAAACTGATTCTTTTAAAGTCAGCATGATCATTTGGGAATAAATAAAGTGTAAACTGGAGCTCAGATGAAAATTCCTCACTCCTCCCTGCATTTCCATCCTCTCTTGCCACAGAAGGTGTGGCGGGGTGCCCTTGCCTGAGTCATCTGGGCTTGTTTACAAAACACGTCTCTGGCCTTAAAGGCTCTTCTGTCATGGGACACCTTTGTTATTCACAGCTTCTGCTTGTTGCAAACTATAAACAGCATGATTCATTTAACCAAATTGGTTCCAGTAGCAGCCATCATAGGTCTGAAAATTATTAAGATAAGACCTTCAATTCCATAGATTGTGCAGGATGCAAAGGAAAGCAAGCCTTTGAGCAGCACAGGGCCCTTCAGTTAGAAAGAAAGACACTGTGCAACCCAAAATCTGTCATGATTCATATATTTAACCTAGACAGCACTAATAAATTAAAGGTTTCAGCTAACGCATTTTAAGTTGAACAATCATATATGTTTTTGCCCTTGTGCCAGAATAAAGCATTGAGCTGCTGAACTTGCTGCCCGAAAGGTTGCAGGTTCGAATCTGAGGAGTGGCATTAGCTCCTGCTGTTAGCCCCAGCTTCTGTCGGTCTAGCAGTTCAAAAACATGCAAATGTGAGTAGATCAATAAGTACCACTCCGGCGGGAAGATAACAGCACTCTATGCAGTCATGCCAGCCACATGACCTTGGAGGTGTCTATGGACAATGCCAGCTCTTCGGCTTAGAAATGGAGATGAGTACCAACCCCCAGAGTCGGACACGAGTGGACTTAATGTAAAGAAAAACCTTTACTTTTACCTGCCAAAATAAATATGTTAATTACAACTACATTGATAATAATAAAATAACTAGTTATTGCTTACCTCAATTGTTCTACAAGTTTCTTCCAGCTGAGATACTATTCCTTGTACTCTGTCATTACTTCCCACCAATACTGCAATGCCATCACTGAGTTCAGACTGTAATGAAAAATAAATGTAAGTTTTTTTCTTTGGGAGAATCCAAAATACTGTTAGTCTGTATTTTCTACTTTAAAATACTTTCCCAACCAAACTCCAATTTTCTGAAAGATTACTGGGGGGAAAATGCATATTTTAGTACCAGAAGAAAAAAGAAACCTACTTTAAAAAGTCTAGGAAAAAACCACCCTGTAAAATACTTTATGGCAACAAAAGTAATGTAACTTTCTTCATTCAAAATGAAAGGTGCCAATGCAAAAGAACTCGTACTGACAGTGAAGTCCAGAACCTACTCAGAAAGTAACTTCCCGAGTTCAGCTGGACTAACAGTCAAGTATGTATAGGACTACAGCTGAAAACCTGTGTAAGAAAATCATATGTTTTTCATTTGATTTGCAAAATTGTATTGTTGTTCTGTGATTACTGTGAAAATTAATTTTTGATATATATGTTCATGATATTTCCACAGATATCTTTTATTATGCACAATTTCAGGGAGGAAATGGGCGGAAGTCCTGGCCTGCAACATGGCCAATATTCATAATTCAAGACAATCCAATGGGACACTTTCTCCCCAAAAGCATCTTTTCCAAAGCAGCTTTAGTGTTCACAAATAAATGCAATTATGGATTCCATCCCAGAGGCTGTACTTGTAAACTGGCTCTGTCTGGTGGCAGTTCCACTGTGCTTCCAAGAAACTGAGCTCCATTTCTCATGAGGATATTCCAAATAAACAGCTGTTTAGTGAATGCTGGGTTAAAAATAAACAGAAGTTTTGCAGATGGCAGGCAAGGATTCTGGATGCACAGCTGAGTGTCTCTATCCCCTGCCCAAAGAATTAAAGGCAAGATAAACTCTTCTTTATTAATAAAAGTGCAGTTCTAAATGTACTGATTTACAAAAAGTGGCACATTTACAAAAAGTGGCATGTTATCTTTTGTACATCAAAAATTAGGGACAGAGTTTGATACTAGCAGGTCACACTTAAGGATGGATAAAGGTTTCATGTGAAAACAAAAATAATAAGATATACGTAGGGTCAGCAAACAATATCCTCAGGTGACAAATTCCTGCTTTGGCTCTGCTTCTTAAACCATGCTTCAGTTTTATGAATAGTAGGTAGTTGGGAAGAAAGCCATCTCTTTTGTTTCCCACATTGCCTCTGGCCTACCTTCACTCCAGGTAGTCTGGAAGATTAAACTGAAACCCCACTCCAGTTACAGGGAGACCCTGGAAACCTCCATGTGCACTTTCTGCAGTGAAAAAAATGAAACGGCAGCTCCACCAGAGTGCAGCTGTTTTCCTGCTCCAACTACAAGATTAGCATATTATTCTGGTGACGGGTTACCTGAGAAAAGGCTGAAAAAGAAAGTTGGGGTCTATTCCAAAACACTTCATTTGTCTTTGTAACAGACCTCAGTCAATGCTTGGTCCCAATCAGGACCTAAAATCTCATCCTCACACTTTACTGCTGTTCTGTACCCCAAGTTACAATGTTCTATCTTACATTACCCTCTATCCCTAATGTTGCTATTTGACTTACACACTTTATCCATCAGCTCTATCCTCACAATTGATTTGCACCAGTCTGCCCACCTGTGCCTAGAAACTGATAATTGGTTGTTGGTTTGATAGTTGCTCTTATATTCTGTTATAATGTTGTTGTTTTATTCTGTTTTATGCTGTTGTTTCAGTATTTTAGTGTGTTATATTTTAACTATATTTCTTTGGGCTCATCCCTATATAAGCTGCCATGAGTCCCTCCGGGGAGACGGAGGCGGGGTATAAAAATAAAGTTGTTGTTGTTGTTGTTGTTATTATTATTATTATTATTGTTATTGTTGTTGTTGTTGTTGTTGTTGTTGTTGTTGTACAGGTATATGGGAAACACTGGAAATGCCTCTACATGACAACAGCTGCATTGGGTGGACCATAGTGTATGAACTGTTCAGCTTGGTGAAAAAGAGGCTGAAGGGTGGCAATATCACATTCTTTAAATACTACAAGGGAGGCGATAAAGCAGAGAATGCAGGCATGCAATGGTTTTATGTTACAGGTGGGTAGATTTTGACTGAACTTTAGAAGGAACTTTTTGAAAGTGAGAGGAGTTTGGCAATGGAACCAACTAAAGAGACAGATGTTGGAGTTCCCTGTGAATGTCTCAAGGAGATGCTTTAGTTGAAGATCCTACACTGATCACGGAGTTGGACCTGGTGGCAACTCTTTCAAATCTATGATTTCATTTCATGATTCTATAACAGATGCTCAATCATTTGATCTTATGCTATTGTATGGACCATCTCCATCGGTATCATTAATTTCTGGTTGTGCTGGCAACTTCTATTGGCATAGAAATCTTTCCAGCATCAGGTCAGTCTACATAGGTTGCAGAGAGTGCCAAGAGATTATTTGAATCTAGGAAAACCAAAAATATATTTCCAGGGCTCAGGACATCAACAAGAGGGCCTTGGCAGAGCCTTTTCATTTTTCTGTTTCCCACTGAATCACTTCCTTGTGCTTTCGACCGTTTGTCTTGTAAATGGGATAAAGGGAGCTGCAATTGCACAACAATAATAGAGGACTGCAGGAAAAGATATTTAATTGTGGTTTCTTGTTTTAAAAGTTGATAGATTTTGGGTCCTGGAAATCCATTAAGAGGAATAGGAGTTGTTTGTTTTTCTTTTACCTTCTGTCTTTGGTAAACATTTGTGATGGGAGCAACTTGGCAATCTTTATGAGCACCAAAAACTTTGCACATTGAGCATGTGGGCACTTCACAATTCAGGCAGTAAATATTGATTTTCTCATCTTCATGCTCTTCACACATTGGCTGCTCAGGTTTTCTTTCCGGCCTGCAACTGCAATTAATGAAGAAGGAAAGCAAAAATTTAATTTCCAATTAGAACCACTTAAAGATCAAATAACATGGTTTATAAGACATTTCCTTGCCAGATTATTTGCTCCTCTAACACACTATCTTCTTTGGCTTCTACATTGCCATATAAAATCCAGATTATCTGTTTTGAACTGGATTACACAGCAGTGTAGATTCATATAACCCAGTTCAAAGCAGATGATGTGGATTATCTGTTTTGATAATCTGGATTATATGGCAGGGTTGAAGGGGCCATAGACTAGGATTTGAGGCTATCTTGTTTGCAATATATGGCCGTTCCGCACAGACCTCAATCCTGGGAGGAATTGGGATATTATATCTCAGTTCTTCCCAGGATTGAGCCCTCATGGTCACCCCAAACCTCAGGCTTTCCGGGGGGGGGGGGGATTGGCTACAAATCCCCCTGAGTCAAAAAATTACCTGAGGGGCCTGGCTGCATTCTCTGGCCCCTATGCCAAAAGCTCCTGGTGCATCTAAATGATGCGTTGGGCGATGGGGGAGAGACTCCCCTTGCCCCCAACCTCCAAATGCATCATTTTGATGCACCAGAAGCTTTCTCTGGAGGAGCCTGAGCATGCCGCCAGGCCCCTCAGGTAAGTTTTGGAGAGAAATGGGAGACTGAGAGGGGAGGATGTGGGTGCCATGCCCCCAAAACTGGGATTGCTGTGGGGATTGACCCCCTGGATCGTGAAAGTGGTCCTAGGAGTCAATCCCCACAGGTTCCACACCTGGAAAGATCCAGATCTTACATTAAGATCCAGATCTTTCCAGGTGTTTTATTAATCGGGAGTAAACTGGGAAATCCCAGTTTACTCCAGATTAATTTGGGTTTACTTGAGGTGTCATTTGCTTGCCTCAGGTAAACCTGGGACAGGTCCCACATTCAAGGATCCTCTTGGAATATACTCAATACACTAAAACCATCTCCCAAGTATATCACACAGGATTTCTGTTTGTGGCATAGTTCCCTTTCCCAAGGGATGATATTTTAAGCAGGATATTGCAGAAACTATTTGGAAGAGAGCCAAAAAAAAAAAAAAGCTTACTAGAGAGAAGAACTGTTTTTTTGGAACAATGCCTATTCTCTGAAATGCTGGACTGTCTCCATTTGGCTATAACATGACTCCAACTAAACCAGCTAGCTTCTACGACACCTCATAAAATTCACAGGCCTTTCCTGAGCTACAAACCCCATAGACCAGGTGATGTTTCTAACTTCAAACTATCTATAAAGCCCTCTCCTTCTCATGAATATCTTCCTAGCTCTCACCCAGCTTTGTGCTTTCAAAGGTCATCACTTGTTAGGGAAATCAGTTTATTATTGATTCTAAGGCCCCTTCTACACTACCATATAACTCAGATTATCAAAGCAGATAATCCACATGATCTGCTTTAAACTAGATTATATAAGTCTAAAGTACCATATAATCCAGTTCAAAGCAGATGATCTGGATTTTATATGGCAGCGTAGAAGGGGCCTAACAAGCGCCCCAGTGAAGGTTCTTGGATGTCAACGGTTATAAGTACAATGTTCCAATATTTTGTGTTCATTCATTTAATTGACACAAATATTATAATTCAGCTTCCTGAACAGAAGAAGAACCCCTATATGATCTCTAATATAGAACATAAGAAGACCACCAAAAGGAGAGAACATTCTCTTTAGAGATGCTTTGGGTTGTTGTTGTTTTTTTAATCCTTTAACCTTGGCATGAATTAATCTACCATAGCATTTGCCCATTCATTCACATTCATTTCATTGTTTAATAACTCAATTCATTTCTTAATTCTAAAGTTAGTGCTGAAATTCCAACATTTCAACCCTTTAGTTGAAAAATAAACTAAGGTGATCCTTTCCCTTAGAAAACTTCCAGCTCAGTTGATAATTTAATTGAATGTAAATAGTTGACATCTTTGTGCAAGCATACAAATATGGTTTAATGAAAGGTATAACTTGAGCGTGGTGATGGCGGGAGCAATGAAAACGTGCCTTTTCTAGGACACTCTTTGTCTTGGGGCCAGTCCTGCTCTCTTCATCCCAGCTGCCGCCTTTTGTTTTCCCAACTGCCTCATTTCCCTTCTTTATGCTACTGCAGATGTTATTCTAAAGCTTCACAGAGAGAGGCATCTATGAATTCATCAGTTAAGAAGCCCATGGAGACAGCCCCATCCTCAGAGACTGCATATTAACAGCAATTTAGGGAGGAGAAATAAGACAGGAAGAAGGAAGTGAGCAGCTGGAACCTAGAAGGTGTCAAATGGCATAGATAAGGTTGTGCAGTTCAAGTGCCAATTCTCCTGATAATTAGTTTAGTTTAAGGGACACAAATGAAGGTTAAAATAATCCTTCTACAAATCCTCCTCCCTTTCCCTATCTCAGAACCTTTACTAAATCTAGGAAGGACTGTCTAACTATTTTTGTTCTCCTTTCAATTGCAAGGCCTTTTATTCCCTCAAGGGAAAATACAGTCACATTCCATTTGATTTTTAACAAATCACGAAAACTGTTATAGTAGCTTCAAATATTTCCATGTCAGGGTGAAGCTCAGCTCACATGGATTTCTTCCTTATTTTGTAGCAATATGGAAGTATGTAAAATGTATCTTCACCCCTGGTGACCAGAATACCCTCATGAAAGCTGGAAAGTTAAATAGCCTCTGTGTATCTATCTATATATGTTGTGTGTCTATAGCATTGAATGTTTGCCATGTATATGTACATTGTAATCCGCCCTGAGTCCCCTGTGGGGTGAGAAGGGCAGAATATAAATACTGTAAATAAATAATAAACAAATATTTGTTCAAGTGAAAACGTATGTATCTCTTAAGACGAATAAGGAAGGGGCCATTAGTGTTTCCAGTGGCAGGGAGTTCCACAGCCTAGGAACTGCTACTGAGAAAACTTCCCCTTGTGTTCCCACCAAAATGTAGTTGTAAAGGTGGTGGGATAGAGAGGAATGTCTAAAACTTTAGAAAGACAGTCTTTCAACTACCTCATCATTCCTGATATATCATTGCAACCCTGAAATTGTGAGGAAATGTATAAAATTTTATATTTCAAACTAATTTAAATCGCAGAACCATTACAACTGCAGCAATACACTGGAGACGTTTCTGCTGCCATGATGCTAAGCACATTTACTTAGAAAGAAGTACCATTTTATTGTAGAATAGAGAAAAATATGTAAAAAGTAATCCAATAATGAAATGACCAATGGCAGCCATGTATATATATGGATGTTTGTTCCCAATTAAAAAAAATATGTAAAAACAACAGAAACAACTAAAATGCTGCAGTAATCAGTGTCAGCACTGATAGGCTGAGTGTACCCAATACAGCCCAGATTTGGATGCCAAGGTTCTTTGCTCATGTTCCCATCACCTCCTGCTTGCTCTCTGATTTATCATTCAGGTTTGGTGCTAAGTTTTGGGGCTCTGGGCCTTGTCCCACAAAGTTCAGCCTACCTAAACACCAAGCAGAAGGACCAATCTGTGCCTGAAATCCAGAACTAATAAATGTTACTTTTGGGACTTCAGGTCCCAGAATCATTTTACTAGCAAGAGCAGTGTCAGTTCTGCACCCTGCCAAGTACAGTACTGTGAATATGTGCACAAATGTACTGCGCTGCTTGGCAGGAGAATGGAAGTAAGTTGGTGAAACAAACCAGAGACATACAAGAAAAATACAATGCTAAGAGACAAAAAAAAAATCTCTTTAGACTCAGTCTTCTTGCTCTTGCCTAAAATTTTGCACACTGAACTGGAAGAGAGGCTTTAGACCAACCCATCAAATTCGGTAACAGGTTTTTTTCACTGTATTATTTATTTTTGTGCTAAATTACTTCCTATTCCTGTACTCCATCCTAAGACATAAGCTTGTGACATCAATACCGTGACACATGGCCAAGCAACATCCAAGATTGGTCAAGATAGCAAAAGTTATTGAAGAGAAAGGCCAGCAAGGCTAGGAAAGAAGAGCCTCTCCTAGGTCTAAAATGGTCCGGGGGTTGGAGGGGAGATAACATGTCAAAAGTGCCTCCCATTATTCCTAGAAGAAGTAGTTTTTATCTCAAGGGGCCTGGGTCACACAAAAATAGCCTGGCAGCCAAATGCATCTTGGGGGTTACATTTTCCCGCTTCTGGCTATGAACAAGGATTATTTGTGTACTCAACTACATAGATGTATGGCTGCTTCCAGTCGTCTTCCCAAGGGAAACAGAGGTACACCCTCCTTGGTGTCCTTCAGCCAGTAGGCAAAGTCATTCGGGCAGGCTTTTAGCAAATGACTGATTGCCTAGAAGCAGGCTTTTAATGGAAGGGGACCGTATTTTTATTGCCGTTCTTTTAATTGCTTTAAATCCTATTACTTTTTAATATTGCAATGTGTTTGATCGCATTTTTATACTTTTTTGAATTTTTATTTGTATCTTTGAATCTTGTTGTATTTGAACTTCCAGAGATAGGTGAGTTACAAATAAAAACAAACCCAAAATATTCATCAGATGTGAAGATTAAATACTGAGGTAAAGCTGAATATTGTTTGATGACAATTAATTCCACAAAGTACACAAAGCTGACATTCTATAGTAAATATCTGTAATAAATATAGAACCTTGTGCAACAGCTACAAATGGATGATAAAACTTCTCATTAAAAAAAGATAAAGCCAACCAGTTTTACTTCTTGTAAAACAAAGCGTAACTAATATCAGAAGTTCAACAATCAAGAATTATGCATGTGGCGTTCTGTGTGGTCTCTATCTACTTGTACATAATGAAGCCTGTTGATGATGATAACTATAGCCTTTTCCTTTTATATCTAGGTTTAGTGTTTCTCAACCTAGGGGAGGGGGTGTCAGAGGGGTCACCAAAGACCACTGGAAAACACATATTTCTAATGGTCTTAGGAACCCCTTTGGCAGGGAAGGTTGAAGATCTCACTGCCTGTGTTTCTCTTCCTTTTTGGAAACAGACGGCTGTGGTGGCCGGCCTCTCAGCTAAGGGGAGTGCTGTTTCCAAGTGGGGTGGGGAGAGCAGGTATGCTTGGTACATGGCAGCGTAGTACAGATGCATGGGCAAGGGAGAGTGTGCGAGGCTGGAGAAAGGCTTGCGCCAGCAAGTTCCTTCAAGGCAGGTGGGAAGCACCCATGTGACATGGGACTGAGAATGGCCCAGCAGCATCAGAGGAGGAGCAGCAGAAGCAGCTTCGGTTATTTGTAATGCTATTTAATAGGGAAAAGTCTTTTATTTTTTATTAATGCTCCCATTAGAAAATGCATCATTGTTTGTGTCCACAGTGCTCTATGGATGTAGGTGACCTACAACTTCACAACTCAAAGTCAATGCACACCAAACCCTTCCAGTATTTTCTGTTGGTCACGGGAGATCTGTGTGCCAAGTTTGGCTCTATTCCCTTGTTGTTGGAGTTCAGAATGCTCTTTGGTTGCTCTTTGATTTTAGGTGAACTAGAAATCCCAGCAACTACAACTCCCAAATGACAAAATCAACCCCCCCCCCCCCACAACATCAATATTCAAATTTGGGTGTATCGGTATTTGTGCCAAATTTGGTCCACTGAATGAAAATACATCCTGCATATAAGATATTTACATTACGATTCATAACAATAGCAAAATTACAGTTATGAAGTAGCAATGAAAATAATTTTATGGTTGGGGGTAACCATAACATGAGAAACTGTATCAAGGGGTCACAGCATTAGGAAGGTTGAGAACCACTGATCTAGCTGGAATTATACACTTTCAGGTGATAGAGGAAAAAGGGGAAGGAGGAGGAAGAAGAGGGAGAGGAAAGTTGGGATGGGGAAAAGAGGCACTGGGTTGCTATGAATTTTCTGGGCTGTATGGCCATGTGACTATGGACATGAAAACCTTCGACAACAAAAAGAGGCAGTTCAGCAGTAGTTCAGTTCTACAATTCACGTTATTTGAATACCCTATAGTTCTCTTTTTGAGGCCTTAAACTATCGTAATTTATGTGTTTCCATGGGAAATGCAACCAATGCAGAAACTGCATCCACAGACATTCCTTCAAGTACAGAAATTGGTCTATTACCTGGCAGATTCCTGCTTGTATATATCAATTATGTTTTCCACCAGCAGATTCCTCTGAAGGCCATAGACGCCATGTCTGTCCAGAACGACTTCGTGCCTGCATGATGGACAGCGGAATCGACCTCCTGAAGCCACAGTGGTGCCTCCTCTCATTGGCAGATACGGGTTTGAGGCCTGTTCTTGCCAAGGAGTAAAAAAGGTTGGGGAGTCAAGCATGCATTCATTCACAGATATTTCCTGCAACTGCTTTCACTTCCATATTGTAAGATGCATGTCAGACTATCTGCTTAAGAAATGATCACATGCCTTTGTGTTACTCATTGCACTTTAATCACTGTTGGATAAGGCAGAGCTGTCAAAACATTTCATTTTGGTGACACACTTTTTAGACATGAATCATTTCACGACACAGTAATTCACTTTTACTGGACAATTTTTTTTTAGTAAGGATTTATGGCATGTTTTCTTGCTGCTGTTATGATTTTATGTATATTAATGTTTTTTAAATTGTACTTATGCTTTGTGGCATTGAGCTTTGTCATGTAAACCGTCATGTAAATAAATAAACCAGAAGTTAAACCAATCGCTTATAAGAGATGAAAACATACATCAATTGTAATAGTGAAATGCATGGCGACATGTCATCCCATGAAAATCTTTTATTTATATGTCTTCGATATATATTGTTACATTTATGCAAAATACCTACATATTGCAGTTTGGAAAGTCCTGGAATAAGGTAATCAAAGATAAACTTACCTTAACTACCAAGGCATAGTCCAAAATGCTATCCAATAAGTACAAAGGGTACATTGTTTCCATTTTGTTTAAGGATTCTAAGTTCATAAGGTAACAACTGGGCTGTTGTGAGTTTTCCAGGCTGTATGGACCTCACAACCTCTGTGGATGCTTGCCATAGATGCAGGCAAAACGTCAGGAGAGAATGCTTCTGGAACATGGCCATACAGCCCGGAAAACTCACAACATCCCAGTGATTCTGGCCATGAAAGCCTTCGACAATACAAAGTAACAACTTCTTGTAGAGATGAACTTTCCATTCTTAGAAGTATTGGGGAAGGACAGGAATGAGTTTATATTTTAACATCTCTACGTACATTAAATAATTCATTCTAGATCAATAGGGTGGGGAGCATTTCCACATGCAAAGGATCCAGAATCATAAAGCAAATAACAAACAAGTGTCTTTTTTCTAATTCATTTTTTTTCATTTAGAGAAAACCCTTTTAATTAAACCACCACATCTGATTTTATAATCTGAAAGGTTAAATAATTCCAAAAGTTTAACTTACCTGGAAGATATCGCTGGCACATTTTCGACATAGGTTGTGCTGACAGGGGAGGATCACCACTGGCTTAGAAAACATCTCTAAACATATGGGACAAATAAGCTGTTTCTCTAAGTTATCCATAGTTTCTTGCTCTTTGGAGAAAGACTTGTAATTAAGAGAGGTGCTCATCTCCTAGAGAGTCTGAGGAACATAGGCTCAGAATCAGAATGCGGCCAATGGGTTTCCGGGTTAGGTCCCCTGAAAAAATTCCAATGCTTGTGAGATCAAATGTCCTTTGAGACTCTTTCTCTGGATGACATTGTTTTAATGGGTGGAAGGGAAAGCAGGGAGCTGGGCCTATTTTAGAAGCAGAGCGTCATTGGCTGCCATACTCACTCTCTCCATATATGCATCTGTCACAAGGACAGATTTAGACAGGTGACAGCTCACTGGGGTGAAAGAGCAACATTCTTGTGTCCAAGAGGAATGGGGGGGAGCATAGGGGAGGAGGTGGAGAAATTCAACAGTTGCCGCTGACACATGCACCACTCACTCTTTTGGAAAAGTTGAAATATCATGTTGACCATAGAATACAGCCTGGTTGTTAATATCTTTACATCTCATTGTGGTAAGAAAAAGCAAGGAGCAATTCAATAAGCATACCCTAAATACTCATGTATATGTCTAGAAATTTTAGTCAAAAAGTCAGCTCCAAAAATGGTGTCATCTTATCCATGGGTCAATGTAAGTACTGTATATTAATTAGTCAAAAAACTACCACCTACTTCTCTGAATAGAATGGTAAAAATTAAGAGCTTGGTCCATCCCAGGAAAACCTTAAAGAAGCACTGACCTCTTCTACCCTCTACACTATGGTGCTGCTTCTGGACTTTTTGATTGCCTGCACGGGGGAAATGGCAGTGGCAGTCAAAGGCCCTTTAAGTCAGTCCTAGTGTTTTCTTTTCTCCATGGAATTATTCTCAACTTATCTACATGGGGGGTATCAAAATCCACAATTTTTGCCCTGAAAAATTATGCAGGAGGTTGGCTTATACTCGAATAGATATACGATAGAGTCCTGCTTATTCAACCTTCGCTCATCCAATGTGCTGTATTATTCAAAGCAGTCTGCCTCCACAGCTGTTTCAAAACATTGCAATGTTTTGGTGCTAAATTTGTAAATACAGTAATTACTACATAATGTTACCATGTATTGAACTGCTTTTTCTGTTGATGTTTTGGTGCTTAATTTGTAAAATCATAACATAATTTGATGTTTAATAGGCTTTTCTTTAATCCCTCCTTATTACCCAATATTTTTGCTTATCCAACATTCTGCCAGCCCATTAATGTTGGATAAGTGAGACTCTACTGTAGTACTACTACTTTCTAAAACTAAAGTGGGTCCAAAAGGCAATTTTCTGGTCCTGGAACCCACTCAAATAATGATGGATTGCCAAAGAACAAACCAAAAACACGCAGAAGTAACTAGACATTTGATTATGGCTTTGGGGGATCCCCACCCCCTCCCCCTGCAAAAAAAACCCTGTTGAGATGTGTAAGAAAGGCCTTCAACTATTTAATATATGAACTTCTGAAGGCTTCTAGAAGAATAATCTCCCCCCCCCCTTCATGTTTTTTAATCCAGGATGTCTGAAGAGGAAAAGGGCCATAGATGTGGTACCAGGGGTTATTCAATATGACCTTGACAGATTGGAGATCTGGAGCAAAGCTAATAAAGRGAATCTCAGAAGGGTACTATATCTAGGAAGGAAAAATGTGTAAGATTAATGGGAGAAAAAAACAACACGTGTGAAGATGATCAAACAATTTTAGCAGATTATAACAAACATTATTCAATAGTATAATGCAGTGACTAAAACAAGCAAACAAACAATGGACTGTAGGCTGCATCAAAAGGAATGTAGCGATCAGATCAAGGGAAGTAGTGGAGAAATACTTTTTCCAGTTCTGAATAACAGTTCAATAAGGACAAGCTGGAATATGTCCAGAGGAAAACTGCCAATATGGTAAAAGGTCTGCAAATCAAGTGCAATGAGAAATAATTTTGAGATCTAGGTATGTTGAGCCTGGAGCAGAGAAACTTAAGAGGTAATATGATAACCATCTTCAAATATATGGAAGGATGCCATGCCAAAGATGGAATGAACTTTCTTGCTGCTTTTCTAGAGCCTCAGATATGAACTATGGAGTGCAATTACAAGAGAAGATTAGAGATTCCACCTCAATATTAGGATGAAGTTGTGTACTGTTCAATGGTAGAATAGATTGGCTTGAAGGATGGTGAATTCTCCTTTTCTGTGGTTTCTAAACATAGTTTGGATGGCTCTCTCTCAGGAATCCTTTAATTGGAATACTGTGTGGTTTCTATATGATTCTGTGTGCTTCCAGGGCTGGACTTTGCCTCTTATTAACCAATTAATTGCATATTTCTAATGTCCAGAACCTACTTTTCTCAAATGGTATATAAGGCTTCAAAAAGTCTCTATCTCTTTTTTTTTTAGAAAGAAGTAAGATGTGGAAACAAGTTCCACAATTAGTTGTGTGAACCAGTCTTAGTAGTGGCAGATGATGTGGCAGATGGAAAGATGCTCCCTTTGTAGAATAGCACTGAGGCAGGAAGCCCCCTATGCTCTCACCAGTGCGCAGTGTGGTAAAATAGCATAAAAGGATGTGGCTCAGTTGGCTTTGTACTCACACATGGCTGACCAGCGGTGTCTTTTGCTAGATAATGGTAAGCCAGAGGCCCCATCCTCCTCTTCTGCCTCAAAAAGCCAATTGGCAAATGTTTGCTTCTTTCTTCTCTTGATCTTCTTCCTGTCATGCTGTCACACCTGTAGATAGTAGTGCTAAAGTGTTGCCATAGAGAAATCATACTTAGCTCTTCAATAATATTCTTCATAAATAAGCTTTCTCTGTAATTTTTTAAGGAACAGTTCCAATACACTTAAAAAGAAAAAAAAAACCTCTCAGTGTTTTCTAAGTTCAAGTACTTTGGAAAAATAGCGAAGATGCACCATTTTTATTGGCTAAGCAGAGGTGATAATTCTGCCTGGGTTATATGCCCATAGTATAATCCCAATGACTAAGTTCCAGCACTGGGACATAGCTTTGTTTCTGTTTATTGGATGCATGGATCCCTCATAACTTGGCACTTGTTGCAAAGTTATTTTTAAAATGACAATTTCCCAGATCACGTCTGGCATGTGAGGCCTAATCTTAAAGCAAAGCCATCTGTGCTGTTACTTGCCAATACTTTATCAGACAACTGTACAAGCAGTATGTATCACGTCTATGAGTTTAAGTGCAACATCTACTTTACTTACTGTAGCAGGCAGTTGTATTCGCATTCATCCTGTACATACCACTTGCACATTGGGTCCATTTTATTTGCTAATAAAATAGCTAGAATAGATAGACAGCATGGTGAAAAGGCCTCTTCATTATACTAATAGAATTTGTTATTATCTGGCTATCAAGATACAAGGAAAGCTTAAATTTCAGCTCTAAACACAAGGAAGGAGTAACCTTCAAGGGGCAATCTATACTTACAACAAAATCTATGGGCAATCTATACTTAAAACAAAGTCTGGGCCCAACAAATGTGCACAGGCTTTATAACTAGTCTTAAAGCTACTTCAAGATCTCTTTTGCACATTGATCCAGACTACATTGCTTTGTCTTTGAATACTATGTGTACATACAATATATGCAAATACAAGTATTCCAAATCAGGAAAAATCCAAAATCCAAAACACTTCTGGTCGCAACCATTTTGGGTAAGGGATACAGCTGCTCTTATGAATTGTGGAAGCTGAAGTCCCATACACCTGGAGGGCAGAAGTTTGCTCATGCCTGGCTGTAGAATATGGATACATCCTCATCAACTCTGGCCTACAAGAAGCACTGCTTGACTATCAAGCAAAAAGTGAGTGCTAGAAACAATATTGTATGAAAGCTGAATGGCACAATCTGGGGGATCACAACCAAACACAGTGAAGACATCTGCCCTTGTGCTTTGCTACTCTGCTGCTGAGTACACATACCCAGCGTGGAACACATCTCACCATGCTAAAACAGTAGATATGGCTCTTAATAAGACATACCACACTATCACAGGATGTCTATGCCCCACACCATGATCAAGGGTCTGGAGAACAAGCCCTATGAGGAGAGGCTTAAAGAGTTGGGCATGTTTAGCCTGAAGAAGAAAAGGATGAGAGGAGACATGATAGCCATGTATAAATACGTGAGAGGAAGTCATAAGCTGTGATGAATGGTGGGAGTTAGACTCCAAACCACCTGCAGGGCCTAAGTTTGCCCATGCACTACTGCATAGTGGAAGTTCTTCCAAATGTTCAGGTGCTGTTTGACTCCATTGCTCTGGTTTGTCCTAGTGTCCAGAGCAGCAGAAAACAAGCTTGTCCCTTTCTCAAGAGGAGACATGCTAGCCATGTATAAATACGTGAGAGGAAGTCATAGAGAAGAGGGAGCAAACTTGTTTTCTGCTGCATTGGACACTAGAACGCGGAACAATGGCTTCAAGCTACAAGAAAGGAGATTCCATCTGAACATGAGGAAGAACTTCCCGACTGTAAGAGCCATTCAGCAGTGGAACTCTCTGCCAAGGAGTGTGGTGAAGGCTCCTTCTTTGGAATCTTTTAAACGGAGGCTGGATGACCATCTGTTGGGAGTGCTTTGAATTTGATTTTCTTGCTTCTTGGCAGGGGATTGAACTGGATGGCCCATGAGGTCTCTTCCAACTCTATAATTCTACATTATAACTGTACCCTCAATTTGCTTCTGACTCAATAAATAAATAGTCTGTTCTTTATTGTATGGAAGGAATTGCAACCTCCAAACATGGATCTCTTGAGTAACTTCTTATATTGAATCACAGAGTTAAACTAGGGAAGTCACAGTAATTTACAAAGCACAAGAAGAAAGCTATTTTCAATCAGAAACTGAAAGTGCAAGCTTGAAAAAAAAATCTCCTTCGAGCCGGAATCGAACCAGCGACCTAAGGATTCCTACAAGGGAAGTTCTCCTCTACAGTCCTCCGCTCTACCAGCTGAGCTATCGAAGGGACACGGCGGAGCTGCTCCCCTTGAGAGATCTAAGCCTCCGGAAGAGATAGGCACGGCCTATTCTGCCCCATGCTATATAGGTGCCTGAACAAAGGTGATAGTTTGGGTATCTGCCTCTCTTGCCAGGTTTGTTTTCATCCTTATATACACGGTGACAAAATCATAGTTTGGGTTTTGGAATTTTAAATATATATATTGGATTTTCTTGGAGTATTTTCAAGCTTGGGGTTTGCTGACT